CCAGACCATTAGCTGGTTAATATCAAGTTGGGTAATATTTTAATTAGAAACACTTAAAATATTTAAACTTTTTCATTAAATACTTGATTAACTAAAATATATTATGATATTTTAATTATTATTACTTTATTTGATCAATTGATTTTTAAGATGGATCTAAATAAACAATTAGAATTAATTTTTTTATGTATTCAATATTTTATTTATTGATTTTATCTTAACATACTTGAAAGCTTTTATGGTTTTTTCATTAAACTTGAGAGTGTATTTCACCATAAATATGCAATCAAATAGGATAAGTATTGCAGTAATATTTGCTTAATTGTGTAAATCTATTAATAACTATAAGTCAAAAAAAAAAAAAAAAAAAAAAAAAAAAAAAAAAAAAAAAAAAAGAACCTAGTTGAGGGATAACTTGTATATAATAAATAATTTCAAACTTACATACCTAATTTTAATTAAGAGTAGATACCTAAAATTTACCGAAATCATGCACACCTGAAATATATACATAACCTTACAAACTAGAAAAGTAGTAAAATCTATTTAACTACATTATTAAAAAAAATGACTCTTGTATTTAGAATTATAATAGAAACAGCACCGTAGTAGTCTTATTACATTGATCATAATTAGAAATCCCACAAGAATCATCATTTATTTGTTTGTTAGTTTGTTTATTTGTTTTTTTCAATTTTGGTCCCTAAGCCAATAAAGTTAATGAATTTTCACCAGACCATTAGCTGGTTAATATCAATTTGGGTAATATTTTGATTAGAAAATAGAAACATTTAAAATATTTAAACTTTTTCATTAAATACTTAGTTAACTAAAATATATTATGATATTTTAATTATTATTACTTTATTTGATCAATTGATTTTTAAGATGGATCTAATATTCAATATTTTATTTATTGATTTTATCTTAACATTCTTGAATGCTTTTATGGTTTTTTTCATCAAATTTGAGAGTGTATTTCACCATAAATATGCAATAATAACTATTTCAGTAACATTTGTTTAATTGTGTAAATCTATTAATAACTATAAGTCAAAAAAAAAAAAATCGATATTGCTTGTCGCCACAAGGTATAGAAACATTATTTTTCAAAATAACGTATAACAAAGAATAAATTGTGTAATAGTATGATAGGTAATTGTTGAATGATTGTTTTACAACCTAAACTTCTAATCTACTCAATTTTCTTTACTTAAAATAAGATTAGAATAATTTTATGAAATGGTATAATACTAAAACTCAATCTGTTTGTTTCCACGTCAAATGGAATACCACTTGAGCAGCATGATTTAATTTTGACCATATGATTATCTACAAAATAATTAAGAATATCTCGAGAAGCACAATATGTCTATATATGTTGAATATTAATTAATTTGTATTAAGATATTATATTGATATATTATCATTACTTATCTATCAATTAATACGTAATATTACAATAAAACATAGTTTTCACACAAAAATGTACAAAATGAAAAAAATTATATATTTGAGTATAATATTAATGAAATTGTAATTATATATAGTATAATATAAAGATATGCAATTAATTGATAAATAAAAAGTCATATGACCCAAAAAGTTCTATAAATAATTTGATGCAATTAGAAAATCTAAAAGTTATAATTAAGTTGTAACACATAATAATAACTATGAAAAAAAACAATAAATAAAAATGTTATTGATATGTCACCTTTGGTCTGATCGGGTTGAACACTTTCCACCTTGAACGATCCTCCTTCTTGCGCTTTCGGTAACCTGCAATATGTCTGGAGGGGGGTCCCGACGGAAAACTCTATGACGCTCAAGTCAGAACTCGCTCAACTGTGAATGTACAAAATAAAGAGAATAAAGCGTGAATTGTGTGTTGTGTAACTAGAGAGAACCTGTCGTCCTTTTATAGGTCTCAATACCTCAGAGCCGAAGAGAGTTCTTGTTAGGGAAGAGATCCACTCGGATTCTACTTTCCTTACCACGTCTTTATCTTGGCAAGAGTCCTTGAACGAGTGATCCTTTCCTTCTTACTTGAATTCCTCCCCCTTTCTACTGTTTTAGATCAAGGATTTTTAAGTCGTAAGTTTGACCTCCCATGTTGTTTGTTATGGCTTTTTCGAGAACGTCCTTGACCTTGTCCTGAGCTGTGATACGACTCGCCTTTAGGTCTAATCTGTCTCCAGACCACCCAACTTCGATGCTCACCGAGGTCAGCTACTTTATCGGGCTACTGCAGGTCGGTACCTCTAGGTTGTGTCTGCTTTGTCAGCTCGGCACCTTAAACATGTATCCGAGCTACTTGGTCGAGCATCTCGCCTCTATACCTACGAGAGTTCCCCTAGCTCGGTCGTAACCGAGCTACTCTCTCAGACCGATGTGCAGGACTATTTCCGGGTGCTACATCATCTGGTCCCCCACCCTTCCCATTTCATTACGAGCTAACCGAACTTGTGCTGAAATGGTCTCTTATGTTTGTGACTTCGTAGCTGGCCTTCTTTTTTTATCCAATGTATCAAGTAATTCCGTGAGAGTACGAGGAGTGAAAAAACACTTTTTACTTTCTCGAACCCCTCCCTACGCATAATATCCACGTGGGCACGTCTTACCAAATTCTGGGAGAGATTCTGAGCCCTTGATTTGGGCGTCCCTAATTGTGGGATTTGTCTTCCTTAATGTGTCTTATAATAACGTTCCTTTCTTTCGCCACCTCTTCACTTCTTCCTTAGTACTCTTCTCTTTACATTTGTTACGAAATTACCTTGATGCTTGAACTCTCATCGCGGCTTAAGAACCCTGGACTTCATTGACTTCGTGCTCTAGCAGCTTGATGGGTATGTTTTGAACTTCTTCTCTCTTTACAATTCTTATTCACATCGATTTTCATTTTCTGTTTCTCTTCATCAAAGACCATTAAGTTCAAACTTCCTTCTACCATGTCTTCTTCCACATCTTCTTCTCAAAATCGTCTAAATTATTTGGTTACAATTTTTTTATTCTTCAAACCACTCCGATAGCCGCTATTCCAATTTCTTCCCATCGGCCTGCCGAGGTGACTGTTGTTGAGGGCGCCAAGGACATCCTTTCTTTTGACTTGGTCCAAATTACAAGACGTCTTTCGTTATCCATCTGGTATGATACCAACTTGATGTTCTTCAAACACTCTTATGCGTTTCCTCAGTCGTGGGAGCTTCAGCTTTCTAAGACCAGAGACTCCTTTACCAAGCCCCCCAGGGCTTTCACGTGTTTTTCCTAGACCAGGTGTACGTTGGTCTATCCTTCCCTCTAAAATCCGATCTTTTAGAGCGATCTCAGCTCTACAAGGTCCCTCTAAATTACTTTTCTCCTAACGCCATTCATTTTATAGTGGTATTTTCCATCATCAGCCGATGCATCCTTCAGTCATTTGATCCGAACTTCTTTTTTAATGTTATTAGATGAAACAGTAGAAGGGTTCATTTTACATGTCTCGTCATAATAACACGGACTTCCTCGGTAATTTGCCTTGGAGCAACTCATCTTGGCAATACAGGTATTTCTTCGTTAAACCTCCTCCCAGAACTTTCGAATTTTCTTCTGAGTGGATTTACGAGAAACCTTTTCAACATTCGTCCCAGTGCCCAACCAGTTCTATAGAGCCCTGATCAAGAAATTGAACGAAACTCCTTACGATCTCACCATTCTTACCGACGCCCTCGACCTGAGGTCGCTTAGTGGCCTATCTTCCATACCTAGCTCGCGTCGTGTTGACTTAGATATCTAATTTAATTACTTATGCTCTTTTGTTCCTCGTGCTTTCTTCTTAAATTCTTATCGTAACTAATATAATTTGTTGCTTATGTTCTGCAAAGAAGGCACGAGTCAGCTCTATTCCTCAGGGCAAACCTCCCCAGCCCCCCACAACAAGTGTTGGGGTTACTTCCATTGTGCCAGGGCCTTCTCATCAGTCCACCTTCCTCATTGATATTCCCCCTCTTCGACCGAGCTCCGTCTCGGTGCCACCGTCAATGCTGAACTTCGGCGGCGCCATGCAGGGCCCCACACCGATGAAGAGACCTCGCTCAAAGAAGCAAAAAAATATGGAAGCGTCTCTGAAGCTTGGAGCGACTGAGATCTTCTAGGGACCCACCATGGCTGAGGTATCTCCTAGGCCAAAGGTGGCCAAGTCTTCTGCAGCTAGCTACCAGCTAGCTACCGTTCTGGAGATACCTCCAATGTTGGCGGTTTCCAACAATGTCGACAACCAATCCACCTACCTCCTCTATCTTCCCCGAGGGAGAGAAATCGGTGGCCCGAAGACCGGGTTCTCCAAGCCGAGCCAGCAGGCGTGCACACATGTGACTAAAGTAGCATCTACACTCCGTTTATAACTTAAGTTATTGTGGCCTTTCCGACTTTCTTTATTATAATAAAGAAACTTATATTCATTTAAGAGTTGGGGGATAAGTCTCCTCACTCTTTTAAATCAAACAACCAACTTTTAATGCATATTATATGACTAAGTATAATTATTTATTTCACACCCGCCGAAAACTAGTTTTAAGAAAATAAGTATACCACACACATCTACTAATAATACAATAAAAATTTTTCTACACAATTTAATTCAATACTAATTAAATTTTCAGTATAAAAAAATCAATCAAAACAGGGTGAACCTCATTAATTCAGTAAGCAAAAGACTTTTGTTGTAATAGATGGTAAAATTATTCACTGATTTGTTTCATAAAGGAAGGCAAACATTAAGCGGAACAAACGTACATGCATAAGCCATATAGCATTATGTACAGAAGTAAAAGACGGACCTGGTGGTGCACAAAATAGCAACAGACACAAATTTTTCGAGATTCTATTTCCAGTGACACGCAAAAGTACCAGACATTTTCCAATTTTAATGACTGCAAGTAAGTATCCTTTGTTGACAAAAATGGTACAAACCTAACAGACAAGTTGTGCAGATGTTGAGTCTGTGTTACTGTTATATACTAATCATCAAATGTGCTCATGAAACCACCAATAAACCCAGCACCATTGCAATTACCACAAAGAATCTCCTTTTTGCCCCTGTAAAAGAGTTGGCCAAAGAGATGATTTATTTGGACATTGATGCAGAAAAAGAAATTGAGAACTTCTACTATCCATATAAGTACTATGGTCATAGCATTAGCAGCAAGCATAGGACAAGGGACCAACAATATATAATATATACATATATCGTAAAAAATAGAAAACTCGAGGGAGGGTATACAATTTTAAAATATATATGAACCTAAGAACTAATTAAGATAAATCATATCGGTTTATTTTAAATATACTTTCAAATTAAGTGATTAATGACGTAATGAATAGATTATTGTATGAAAAAAATCATGTACACAACAAGGATATATGTATGCATGGCACTTAATCCAGTCAATGTTATTCGAACGTAACTGTTGAAAGAAAAAACAGCTAGAGTATTAGCATTTGGAAGTAACATAATGTGAATTTAAAATATCAATCATCTTTCTCATTCTGAAAAGATGTACGTGTTACATGTTGTGGACCACTTTTGTCTGCAGGAATGCTATATATTTACCTCAGTATAAATAAAATATCAAAATTATATTTCTTAGGGTAAATTTACAGATATTTTGAGGCTTCATTAGAGATCTAGCAAATAGAGATATAGCAGGTTGAACTTCGTTTCAAATGGATTCAGCTTTGAAACTCAAAGTACAATGGTCAATCAAAAAGAAAGAGAAAATATACCTGCAGAGCCAGCACATGTTTCCAGCTTTGAACTGGCCGTTAAAGTGATCTACTGAATTGACTCCAGTGCCTTGGCATTGCGTACATTTTTTAGCACCTAAAGGTTGTACAAGAAAGAAGGGATATTTTTTTTTTTTTAACTTATCTGAAAACCCGATAGATGAAAGAAAGGAAATTAATAATGCTGAGTTATATAGACTTCGGAGTCCAGCATTCAGGAGTTGTATAATATTGAACCGAGATAATAATGAGCGAAGACATTTACTTGGCCAATTACTCGATTATAGCTGTTTTAGACTCTCCCATTTCCCAAGTACAAACATCTTACATAATGGAAATGAAACGGGGTCAGCTACCTCGTGCAGATCTGATCCTTGAAACAGGATTGCCAGTAAAAGAGATCAATGAAGAACTCACTGATCTCTTACACATAACTTTCTTAACATAATCACATAATGTAATGATTCAAGCCATAATTAGGAGAAAACAAAGACGATCAAAAAAAAAAAAAAAATGGTTTTCCACTTACCATCTCCATCACATTCAGCACAGATTATGCTATTTGGTTTGGTGCTTGGTTTGCTGTCTGTAGCCTGTGAATTCGACCGGGACAAAGTAAGGTCATGAATAGAAAACACGGTAGTTGCACAAGCCCAACCTCAAGAACCAAAATTAGGGTAGAAAAGATTGAAAAATACAGTAAAATACAAGATTCAAAGTCCAGCAAACCAGAATAAGGCATTATAGCAAAAGGGGAAAAAAAACAATGAAGAATTCACATATTTGTACCCAATTTGGGGCCTTTTACAATCCCAAACAAATTGCATACTTATTTTTGGGCAAGAATTATAGAATTGACAATCCTAAACAACTGACAATCAAAATCAACAAACATTGACAACGTTCGAAGGATAAATTAGGACTCACACGAAGCTTTAAAGCTTCGAAAGGAGCAGCCTTTGAGCTGCAAGTAGCGTCGCTGAGCCAATTCGCCTTCTTGCTACTAAATTTGTGACTAATAAGCCCTGAGAAAGGAAAGCATTATGAACCCATAACACAATACACACACGCAAAAACGAACAACACGGGACCAGTGCAAGAACAGAGACAGAGCACAGAGGTACCAGGTCTGTTATCAACGACGTTCGAGGAAATGAATGGTCCGAAACACAGAGAGTTCGCCATTCCTTCGGAGGATTCAATGTAACAAAACTCAGATACTTTCTGTTGTGGGTTTCGTGGGCAGTTTGTAGCGACGGAAGGCTACTGTGGAGGATAGCGCGAGTATTGCTCAGTGTTCCGGAGTAGATAAGGTTCTCTTTAATGGAGGGCACAATCGGACATGAGTTATGATTATTTTATCAATATCAATATAATTTAATAATATTAATCAATTATTATTACATATCACATCAGTTTTAAAGTTTAATTAATAATTTATTCACTAACATAATTTTAATTGACTTTCATCCCTTATAATGTATCTTCTAATCTATCATTATATTAAAAGAATAACTTTTTTATGATTTCCCGCCAAAATAATTATTTTCTCTTCAAAATCATTAAATACCTGCCAAAATTATTATTTTCCCTCTAAAATCATTAAATACCCGCTAAAATCATTATTTTTCCTCTAAAATTATTAAATAAACAGTGATATAGTGTTAACAAAAAAAACCACGCGCTGATTTTTGTGATGTTTTTCTTTTTATATCTGATTTAATGTGTAGATATTTGTTTTTTTTTTCCTTTTTTTTTACCGAAGGTGTTTATTAAATTAGTCTTATAATATTTTAGTTATTTTAAACAAATTGTTTAGACATTTTTTTTTACATATTCGTCTATATATACACATATACATAATTGATGTTAAATTTAATTATTTGTAGACATGCTTTTTTTACAAAATACTCTAGAAATTTTTCTTTACATAATGTTAAATTCAAATGTTTTTTGATATGTTTTCTTTCTAAAATTGTTTAGAAAAGTTGTAGGTGACTTCATATTTTTTAAAAATAATGTAGAAAGTTTTGAATACTTTTACATATACTAATATAATATTTTGAGTGTTTTTAATATTAAACATACAAATTTTATATTCTATTATACAAAATAATATAAAATTTATATTCTCTTGTACAAAATCATTTTACATTGTCTGACCCCAACACTTTAATATATAATTATTATTTTTTTTCTTTCTCTTTTTAAATAGGATCAATAGTAGTTTCCACTTCCGTCATTGAGTGACTCAAACTCGAGCTATATTTATAATATTGTTAATGTAATATTGTTACCGTGCATCGCACGGGGTACACACGAGTTTTATACTACATTAACTTTATCATTACATTTTAAATATTAATTAGGGTGTGTGTTTGTTAGGATTTTTCAAGACTTTTTTAAGATTTAAGAAATTTTTGTATATTTAATTTAGACTTTCTAAGACTTTAAAAGTCTTGAGGTACTCTTGAGATTTTCAAAAAGTCTTACAAATCCTGAAGTATTTAATTTATTCGAGACTAGAGTTTGTTAAGATTTACTGAGATTTCGAAAGAAAAAAACCACGTATGAAATCTTACTCCAAATCACACATCCAGATTAAAGATTTCATAGTATTCCTTCAAAATTTTAAAATCTTAAAGACTAGTCTCAAAATGTCACTCGAATAGCAAACGAATACACCTTAGTTTCAAATTCAAAATCATCAACTCAATTAACTTTATTCAAAATAACTCACTTTAACCAACCAAGTTGGATCATAACAAGATTCATATCCAATTGCCCCTAAGGGTTGCTTGGATACAAATTTATCTAATCACTTTTGAATGGGACTGACATTTTTTGACGAAATAAAAGTTGAACTGAACCGAATCGACGAGAAAAAAAAACCGAAACGTATCGATTCATTTATAACGATAACCGATGGTATCAGTTACCGACTTGCTATTGGTTCTGAAACCATAAAGGTTCGGTTTTACCGAACCGAACTGATTAGAAATTATTAAAAAAAAAAAGCTTTAGTAGCCTTTAGCCTTGTAGTTACTTGTTTAGTACTTAGTTTAGTGTTTGATTAGATTATTAGTGATATGAGATATTATACCCAAGAGAGTAAACCGGTCGAGTAGGCGATCGAATGAACCAAATAAACCACCTTGTCGAACGGGGTGGTCATGGCCAAACATCACAAGATTAAGAGCCTCTGAGCCAGAAGACAGCTTAAAGGAGATTTTGGTACGTGGGGAATAGGTCGAGCCAAAACCCTCGAATAGCCTTGTCGAAACTCGACCTACAACAGCAAATCGACCTAGAGTTGGTCGAGACTTCAAGACGATCTTAGGGGAATCAAATCCCCATGTGTGAACATGTATGATGGTCTTATTGGCCCATGCAGCATAACCGTCTCTGACACACCTCCAGTGTGTGTTGCACGATCGGGCAGCTCGGGCAACCAACTCAGCATAGACCGGCAGCCTTCTAGAAACATGTATTTCACCTCTATATATATGGGTGAGACGTATGATTTGATCCATTACGTTTATTATACTCTTTGCGAGTTCATCTTCTACACATACTCATTTAAGCATCGGAGGCTCTTCACCGGAGACCCCCTCCGATGGAAAGTTTTTGCAGGTATGAAGCGTTCTACTGGCGAGGGAGAGCACGAGCAAGCCTTTTCCAGCCAGTTGGAGTGTTCTACTTATCCAATTAGCTAATAGTTAAATTAGGCTCAGTTTTCTTTTCTAAAAAAATAATGTAAATTATAATTTAAAACTGGTCCACTCATCACCCCAACAGAAAGAAAGAAATTCTCAGCCTTAGTTTGGGAAGACAAAGCCACTCTTCACTCTTGCCCTGCCCATCGCCTCAGCTATTAAAATCGGCATTGGCCTGGAATTCTCTTTGGCGTATTGCCCTACCATGGCCTTCACCTACTCAGCGGATTTCTTTCCGGCTCTGACAATCGGCATCACAAATTTAAATGAGTAATTACTAAAATAGTAAAATTCGTTTCCCTTTCCCTGCAACCATAAGAGATGATGAGCTTTAGTACTGAATCGGCATCACATTCTAAATTCCAACAGTTTTTATATTGGTGTTTGCCGTAATTTTTTATACTGCGGATGAATGAATGGTGTATGTTGGAACATATTTTTTACTTTTTTATTGTTGTTGTTGGGAGCCTGGGAAGTGAGAAGGAACATTTTGTGCCTATGAACACTGAACATGTTGGGAGCCTAGGAAGTGGGAAATGTTGTTGGGATTTTTGTTACGGTTTTTTGTTTCAAAATCGAAACCGAACTGTTCGGTAATCGAAATTTGGTTACCGACTTGTAGTCGGTTCGGCTTCAGTTTCACATTTTATGATTACCGTATATCGGTTGGGTATCGGTTCATTCTTATCAACCCTACTTTTGAACAATCACTTTTTTTCCACTCAAATTCTATTTCAAATATAACTAAATTAAACTCTCATCAATCTTATCAATATAATTAAATACTATCAATCAATCATCAATGCACATCAACTCAATTTCCATTCGTTATTCATTCCACTCACATAATTTTAATCATTTATCATTGTCCATCAATTCTCTCATACTTTTACATCAAATAAATTTTGATCATCCCAACAAGCTTTTTTAAAATTAACTCTATTTAACCAATAAATATAATCAAAACTCAAATAAACGAGCTATGCACCGAACATAGATATTAAATGAGTTGTTTTCAAAAGCTTTGTCCGTTTAAGTCTAAAAAGCAATAGAGTTATCATCTATTTTTAGCCTCTTTTAATCAGCGTTCAGTCTAAAAACAAAAGGGTTATAATCTATTTTCCACCTCTTTTAATCAGCGTTGTCTTTATAGCTAGAGCATTAAATATGGACATGTTAGGGCTAGCTTGTAAAATAATTAATATATATCACTACACATTTATACTAATATAAATTTGATTTTATTATATATATTTATTCCTTGTCATAAGAGAAAAATAATAGTTTTACTTATTTTTGTTCACTATATAATACTTAATTATTATTTTATATAAAATTTGTTGTCAAATAATGTCCTTATTATTTAAAAAAGTTATAGAAGTTGTACATCTTCTGTTTCTTTTTGTTTCATGTAATGAAAAATATTTAATGTGCGTTCGTATTATTCATTTATGTAATCAATTTAAAATATGCAGTAACATTTAGAATTAACAGAAATGCTCCCCTACCCACGGTGGGCATATTAAAATATGTCCACCGTGGGTAGGTGAACATTTCTCTTAGAATTAAATAGTGTATAAATATTTTACAAAATATACACACATGATTTCTTCGAATTTAATTTTGTATAATAAGTAAATAACTTGGATATAGAAAATGCCAAAAACTCAATCCCTTCTATAATCAATATTTTTTCTAATGCGCATTACAAAGATTTATAGTTTATTTAACACACACTCTGCAATGAAAATATATTTTACAAGAATTTCATTATTGAAATAAAACTAAATATAAAAATAATAAGAAAATTAATCATGGTTGCCAATATAGTGAAATAAATCAAAATATATATAAAAAAAAAAATTAATCATGGTTGCCAATAATATACAAATAAATTCTAAATAACGGTTAATAATTTGAAGAATATTCTAAATAACGGTTAATAATTTGAAGAATATTTTAAATGGTTGCCAATAATCTATATATATATATATATATATATATATATATATATATAATTGCTGGCTCATGAGCATTTAATAAAACTATTAAATTATACCCATGTTGCAAAATAATTTTTTCCCTCCAAAAACTGTTACTTTTTATTTATTTAACCTCTCATTTAATTATTAGATAATCAACACACTAATCACTTTAAAATTACAAAAATCATTTTTAAGGTTTTTATTTACAGTTGACCATATAATGTGTTGACTATTTAACGTGAGTAGATGTTATTGTTGTGGTTACATTTCAATTAACTTCTCTTGGAAAAAAAAAAACGTATTTGACATTCTTAAATAAATAATAATAATTCACAAAAAAAAAGATACATATCAAGATATACATTACATCCAATATGATAAACGCAATTCAAAAAAATAAATATTTCAATTCCTTTAATTGTAAATTTAGCAAAAATCATTAATCATTATATGCATACAAACACTCACAATACTTTATTTATAT